GAAGACTGGGCTGGAACTCTGTGGAGACACCCAGGAATTGGAGGGCACTCAGAGTTTTTGCTGAATTGCGGCCACAAAGGATGGTGGCCAGTGTGCTCCTTCCCAGAGTTATGGGGAAAAGCAGCAGCCCCCTGCTCAGAGATTCAGCCTTTCCCAGGTGAGGCAAAGAAATGCAAATTGAGACTCATTAACAACCAGCATCTATCTCACCCTCTGCAAAACACCAGGGCTACATTCCAAGGCACTGAGTAACTGAGACTACTAACCTACAGGAAAAAGCTAGAGGATAACTGAACCTTTGCTGTGTTTGCAAATCTACCCAGAAAAGTAAGACTTGACAGTGGTGTTTAATGTGGACCCACCGAGGCTCATCCAAACCCACCAGAGGGAGCCACAAACAGCAGAACACCAATACACACAGGTAAATTGGACAGGCTCAAAAACCCAGTGAGATAGCCAAAATGGTGAAACAAAGAAACAAATCCCAAATGAAAGAACAAGAGAAATCTATCGAAGATGAGATCAATGAAATGCACTTAAGCAAATTATCAGAGGTGGAGTTCAGAGCCATGATCTTGAGGAAGCTCAACAGCATGAGTAAGGACATCAGTACCATGAGTAAAGATATAGAAACATTGAAAACCAACCAAGTGGAAATGAAGAATGACATAGCAGAAATAAAGAACACATTGGTTGTACTAACCAGCAGAGTAGAGGAAGCTGAGGACCAGATCAGTGAATTAGAAGACAGGGAAGAAAAAAATCAACCAATCAGAAAACCAAAAGGAAAAAAAAAAAAAAAAATAGGAAAAAACAGGAAGATAGCTTAAGAGAACTGTGGGACAACTAGAAACGGAATAACATTTGCATCATAGGAGTCCCTGAAGAGAAAGAAAATGGGCAAGGGTTAGAGAATATATTTGAAGGAATAGTGACAAAAAACTTTCCTAATTTGGTGAAGGAAGAAGACATTTAAGTTCAAGAAGCTCAGAGAGCCCCAGGTAAAAAGAACCCAAACAGGCCCACACCAAGATACATAGTAATTAAAATCTCAAAATCTAAAGACAAAGAGAGAATCCTAAAGGCAGCAAGAGATAAGCAACAGGTTACCTACAAAGGAAACCCCATAAGGCTCTCAGCTGACTTCTCAACAGAAACACTACAGGCCAGAAGGAAGTGGCATGAATTAATCAATGTAATGCAAAATGAGAATCTGAATCCAAGACTACTCTATCAAGCAAGGCTACCATTCTAAATAGAAGGTCAAATAAAGAGCTTCTGAGACCAAAAAAAAAAAAAAGGCTAAGGGAATATATTGACACCAAACCAGCACTGCAAGATATGCTAAGGGAATATATTGACACCAAACCAGCACTGCAAGATATGCTAAAAGCACTGCTGTAATTAGTAGACATAATAGGAAGAAAAATATCACCACACTAAACAAAAATGGCAATAAATAAGTACATATCAATCATCACCTTAAATGTGAATGATTTGAATGTTCCGATAAAAAGACACAGAGTAGCTGACTGGATAAGAAAGCATGACTCACATATATGTTCTTTACAAGGGAGCCACCTCACAACAAAAGACTCACATAGGTTGAAAGTGAAGGGATTGGAATAAAATCTTCCAAGCAAACAAAAAGGAAAAAAAAGCTAGGGAAGCAATACTCAATCTGATAAATTTGACTTAAAAAGGAAGGCCACAACTAGAGACAGAGAAGGCCACTACATAATATTGAAAGGATCTATCCAACAGGAAGATATAACGTTGGTAAACATATATGCACCCAATATAGGAGCACCAACGTATATTAAAAATCTTCTGGAGAACTTCAAGGGAGAAATCAACAGCAGTACAATCATAGCAGGGGATTTAACACCCCGCTGACATCACTGGATAGATTATCTAGACAAAAATTTAAAAAGGAAACACAGCCCTGGCCGGTTTGGCTCAGCAGTAAGAGTGTCGGCCTGCGGTCCTGAGAGACCCGGGTTTGGTTCCCGCTAAGGGCATGTACCTCAGTTGCAGTTTGTCCCCGGCCCTGGTCAGTCGTGCGGGTGGCAGCCACTCAATGTGTTCCTTTCACATCAATGTTTTTCTCTCTCTTTCTCTGTTCCTCTCTCTCCCTCCCACTCTACCTGAACAAAAAAATGGGAAAATGTCCTCGGGTGAGGATTAAAAAAAAAAAAAAAGGAAACACAGACCCTAAATAAAGCGCTACATCAAATGGATTTAATAGATATCTACAGAGAATTACACCCCAAAACTTCAAAATTCACATTCTTCTCAAGTACACAAGGGACAAGCTCAAAGATAGACCACATTCTAGGGCACAAACTAAGTCTCTGCAAGTTCAAGAAGATTGAAATCATATCAAGCATCTTCTCAGATCATAATCGCATGAAACTAGAAATCAATTGCAACAGGAACATGTAAAGACATTTGAAAACATGGAGGCTAAATAGCATGTTATTGAACAATGAATGGGTTACCATGGAGATTAAGGAAGAAATTAAAAACTTCCTGGAAACCAATGAAAATGAACACACCAACAACACAAAATCTATGGGAGGCAGCGAAAGCAGTTCTGAGAAGGAATTTCATAGCACTACAGGCCTACCTCAAGAAACAAGAAAAAGTTCTAATAGGCTATCTAACCTCACAACTTAAAGAACTAGAAAGCAAACAAAAAGAAAACCCCAGAGCAAGTAGAAGAAAGGAAATAGTAAAGATCAGGGCAGAAATAAATGACGTGGAAACAAAAAAGTAATTTAAAGGATCAATGAAACAAAGAGCTGGTACTTTGAAAAGATAGACAAGACTGATGGACCCTTAGCTAGACTCACCAAGAAACAAAGAGAGAGAACACAGGCCTCTGTGGAGCCCCAGGTCCCACAGCTGGTGGCTGGGGAATGCTGCTGCCCTGTAGCTCAACTCCTGCTCAGCTTTTGCTGTAGTTTTTGGAGATGATCTCAGCTGCTGGTCTGTGCTTCTGTTGCCTGGGATGGATGTCTGCTCCCCAGCCTCTGTTGCTGGGGGTATATCTGGACTCTGATCGGGCTGCTACTGTGAGTGAAGGTGCTGGGCTCCTGGCTGTCCACGGCTTCTGCGACCAGCACCTTGGGAGCTCCACTACTGTGCACTGGTCTGTGTTGTCCCAGAGTGTCCACTGGTCCGATGGTGCCAGGTGCACTGGTGGGCTCAGGTTGCTGGGCCTTAGCTGCTCCTACTGCCTCTTCTCAGGTAAGACTGGGATCTTCCAAAATGGTGGGACCTCCCCGTGGTGCAGGGAGAAGTGCCCTGAAAAGCAGCTCACTGCGGTAGCCGGCTGCTCCAGTCCACAGCACAGGAAACTTCTGCTCTGTGTCTCTGCACTGCAGGAGTTTGGGCGTCGTCCACCTTCACGTCCACTCACACTCTCTCACACACTCACCCTCCCTCGGGTCCTGCCCGCCGCCATCTTCTAGGTGTCACTTTTTAAATGTATTTATTTACGTTTGTCATTCTATTATACACTTTTTCTTTTACCCAGGTCAGTTCTGAATGTTTCCCCATCTGCAACTCTGTTTATTAGGTCACTTTTCAGAGCTGCTCAGGAAAATTTTCCACATTGCTTCTCTGAAGCTCTCATTTTAGCTCTACTAGTTGCGTTCTCCTCTGGGGAAAACTTTGCAACCTCTGACCTCTGGATTAAGGGCTGGTAGTAGTAGCAGATGGCAGGTAAAACACTCAAGCAAAACAAGATTAAGTGACCTGGGCCTGGTTGTGGGTCAGGAATGTTAGAAGGGCTCAGCTGGGTGATTCTTCTTCTCCTGTGTCTTTAGCTGGGGCCCTCATTCAGCTGCATTCAGCTGGCAGCTGGGCGGGTTAGTGGGCGCAAGAAGGTTCCACCCACATGCCTGGCCCCTGGTGGTCTGCCCAGTGGCCCTTCTCTCTTCTGGTGCCTCTCTCCAGTTGGTAGGCTAGCTCGAGTGTCTTTCCAGCATAAAGGCTGGCTTCCCAGAGGGAGAAAGTAGAAGCTAGTAGTCCTCTGAGGCCCTAGCTTAGAGGGCCCAGTACATTGATTCCACATTTCATTGGTCTAAATAAGTTACAGAACCAGTCCAGATTCAAGGAAAGAGGAGACAGATTCCACCTCCTGAGAGACAAGGGCCCTGTGGCTATCTTTAACCCATAGTTATATACGCTGGTAACTTCTACTTCTCCATTTTCTGTTCTTTAACTACATGTTTTATATTTTGTTTCCATGACTTTATATAAACTTATCATTTAAAAAATGTTTTTCCAAACAAAAAGAAATTTGGAAAGCCTCCCAGCAATGAGTTATAAAATAGGCCTTTATTTGCCTTTGAAAAGTTTGTTTTTCTACACATAAATTCACAGATATATATTATACATTTTAAGCCAAAAGAAAATATTAGTTTCTAGTGTTTAGGCACCATTGCACCTGCCCAGTTATTTGTTTTTCAAAGATTTATGTATGATAGTGTAAACTTGACCATCATAATTTGTTCAAGGTAAAATATTTCATAGCATAGATATATTAGGCTTTGATGTATATGTTAAATAAAAATAGAAATTTTTGACACATATATCAAACAGGAAAATAAAGGGCATAGAAACTTAACCAAGTTTTTTTACACAGTGTATATTGCTTGAGTCAAGGAATAAAGATTGGATTTAAAATCTGTATTGCATTTTGGGAAATGCTGTGCAAGGAGAGAGATGTTACCAGGACTGCTGAGTGAATTTTGTTTACTGCAGTTCAACATTTCATCAAGCAAATCGTGTGCACAGGGACAAGTATAAATGTACCTATTTATGTAGGTAATTTTTCTGTTTCATGTCTCTGATTCATCTCTCTGCCTTGCTTTATGGGGAGTCATGCTACATTGCTTACAATTAATTTCAGTGCTGCATATTAGCTATAGAGAGATTTTATAAATTGACTTGATGTAATTTTTTTTTTTCTTCTGTGGTTTTCTTGAAAGATGAGACTGGTCCAGAGGAAAAACAAAGTGCAGAAGAAATGGAAGGGCAGAGCCAAGAAGCAGGTGGGCTCAGATTTCTTTTGAGGAATCTCCTAGGCTTCATCCACAGAGGTGAACAATGACTTTACTCAGTGCTATTTTCTGAAAATGCTTATACTTTTTACCAGGTTAACTTCCCTGAGGGGAACTATTCAGGTGTCCCTTGGGAAGCCACCAACTCTATTAACTCTGAGTCAGAGGGCTTCCTATCAGAAGGGTACACCGTTAGGTCTCATTCACCAATTCCATTTTTCTTCCATGTAATAACAGTTTGCTTAGTAGTGATCTAAGAGGGGCGAGCAGAGATTGAAGTGCAAAGTCAGAGCTTGGCTGACTTAGGGTAGGTTAAAATTAGCAGATGTAGTTTGGGCAAAAAAATATGAAATGAAATGTTTAAAGGAAGTAAATAAGAGGCTTCCCCTCCACAATGAGTGGAGTGTTCTTTACTGTTTTGCATAAATTTTGAAGGGCCATGTTTCTGGTTGTATCTGTGTGTGTTATAGGAGACGTCACAGAGCCTGACTGCCCCACACACGGAGCTCACATGAGACCTGAAGCCTTCTTGGCATCTCTGTTCACTACAGAACAGATGTGTCAATTGAATGTTTACAGATTTTTAAATGTAGATTATAAATTGAACATTTTAAAATAAAATAGCACTTAAGACTCTGAAGAGGTTATCATCATCTTCAATTTATCATCTCTTTGTACTCATTTTTGTACTCAGGCACATTCTCCTTTAAAAATGATAGACACAATTATGCAGCTACCAACATAACCACTCCAATTGAAATATCCTTCTTCTCTTTAGTTTGCAAGTCATTCTCCCAGTTCTAATGAGCCCCACAGTGGTGGTGGTGGTAGTGGCGGGGTATTTGTGAAATCTGGCTCTATCTAAAGTGTACCAGGCATGTCCTGGGCCACATGCTGAACTCTTGGAAATAAACCCGGTAGTGGGATAAGTTTTTCACTGAAAACTTCCTGCATTAACCTTGGAACTTTTGCAAGAGAACTGCAGGCTTTTATTATTAACCTGGAAGATGGAATCGAAGAAGGCCAATCAGAGGAAGCACTGAAGCAAGGCAGCGAAGACCTTGCGCAGTCGCTGCAGGGTCAGTGGGCTCCCTTGGCTGAAATGTAGGACTTGCAATGCAATGAATTCTGATACAGCAAACTGTTGTTATTCACACCCCAACCCCAGCGCCTGACCCACACATCATTATTACTCCATGGAAGATGAGTCTTATGTGAAAAGCCGTCACTGTTTTGACTGTTTGGGCTGATAAATTTGGGAACCTTTAATGTGGAAACCCTTCACTGTGAAGACGAATCCTAAACGCACACCTGCAGGGCTCCTCTCGCTCTTCCAGGTGAGCCAGCAGGCAGGCATGGGGCCCAGCGGCAGGGGTCATCTTTGATCCTGGCCAGTGTCAACATGCATTGTTACGCCCACTCTGCTCATATCTTAGCCTCCCTAATCCATATGCAGAGAAACTGGAGATGCGGTTTTGGTTATTCAAGCTCTTTTGAGCTGCTGTTACTCTTCCAAAATACAAATACCTGTTTTTCATTCAATATAATTTCCAACTTCAATTTTTATTATATAATTCTGCAGGCCTCTTCCACATCAAGAAAAAACACAGTCTCAAACTAGCATAATCCATCAATTCTCACTGCTGTCATAACCAGATCAAATCACAGTTGTAGATAATATTCCACAGTCATTCAACAAATATATATCAAGGGTTTACAGGCACTGTGTGGCCACTGGGATACAGCAGTAAACTATAAAGACAATGTCCTTGCTTTCTCGAAGCTGATATTCTGGTTTGGGAGAGTCCAAAAATAATAAACAACAAAAAAAGCGTGAGACAGTGACCAATGACTTGCAGAGAAAGGAGAATGTCGAAGGAATACTGTGAAGGCCACTTTCCATTGGCTCCATTTGGGGGAGACTCCCTAAGGAAGCAATACTTTCAATAAAAAAGATGCATTTTTTATAAAAGAGATAAAAGTGATGAGATGATGAAAGCGCATTCAAATGGAGGGAACACATAATGCAAATGCCTCTGGCCAGTTTAGGTTTAGCGTGTTGGCAAAAAAAAAAAAGCCGAGCAGTTGGAGCATGGTAGACTGGAGGAATGTAGTATGAAGTTTGGTAAGAAGTAATAGTTCCAGATTACTTCTGACTGTATAAAATTTTATTTCATGATAACCACAAAGAAAAGACAATGAACGATTTAAGAATGGGAAGACATAAGCTATGTTTTAATAAGTTTGCTTTGTTTGTGAGTAAAAATGGTCCCAAGAACCAAAGTGAGAACAGTTAGAAGGCTACCATAGAAAAGCAGTGATGGTGGCTTCTGGACCTGGAGACAGAAATGGACTGCTTTGTGTTACATCCCAGAGATAGAGGTAACAGGGTATGATGAGGGACTGGAGGTGGGGAATGGAGGAAAGAGGAATAAGTCTTAGGTTTTTAACAATAGTAGCTATGGAGATGATGTTGCCATTTACCCATATGATATATGGAGGAATGGCCACAGAGAACAGTTTTGCTAAGAAAGTTAATAGCTCAGTTTTGGCCATGGAAATTTGAGAGGAGTCTCAGCCTTACAGGATGTCAAAAAGCCAGTTTTATTTATATTCATGTATGTATATGAGTCTGGATTTCTAGGGAGAGGTATAGACCAAGGATACATATTTGAGAGTCACTGGCATTTAAATTATATTTAAAAGCATGAGACTGCATCCGTTTCACTAGGGAGAACATGTAAGCAAAGAAGACAGTGGGCCCGGGGACACCCTTACATCTAGATGTGTGGCAACAGGGGAGAAGAAGCAGCCACAACAGGGTTTCACAAAAGCACAGTAAAGTAATGCTACTGAGAAACCAAGTAAAATAAGAAAAGAGAAATGACCATTGGATTTGGCAAAGGGGGGGGTCATTGGCACCTTTGAGAAGAAAATTCCTGAAGGAGTATGGAAGCCAGTTGGAGTGGGTTATGGAGAGACTGGGGAGTGAGGAAGCATAGAACACTAAAATAGGCAGTTCTTTTAGGGAGTTTTGCTGTGAAGAGAAGTAAATAAATGGGAAAATGTGACATCAAGATTACTAGTTTGCTTTATTTTTTAAAATAGGAAATTGTCACTTAACAAAAGAAAGTGATTCGTCATCTCCAATTATCCCTTTTCTAAAATTTTTATTCTCTGCTCCAATAGAGACATGATCTAAAAGTTATAGTCATATACTTTTGCACAAAATATGTGCAAGAATCTATGTGATTTTCCTTTAGATGTGTTTGTTGCCATGAATGTATGTGTATGCCTTTTTGGTCCCATGACCCTGTTCCCGCATGAAAAAAAAAAATTATCTTTCCAATTGTCAAGTATTAACCATTTCAAATGCTTTTTATAATCCTTCATGTCTTACATGTACCATTTTAATGTTAGCAAGTTAATTATCTATTATCCTGGAGGCCAAACATGAATAGAATTACTGGGGTGTCAGTGATACTGAGAAGACAGATCAACCTGATGAAGTTAATTGCTGCTCTAAGGGGGACAGGGACCTCCAAGTTTCTTACTCCCTACTCTGTGCTTGGGTGATGTGAAATCTCCAAGTGGCTTTTGGTGCTTTTCTCCCAATGAACCCTCTCCTGGGTCTGCCCTGACAGCCTTCGGATGTGCTCCCTGCAATTTCACAGCCTGGCACAGGGTCCAGAGAAACCGAACTTCTGAAACACTCACGAAAAAGCACTTTGTAGCAACTTGCAAGAGTATAGTTTCTTTCACAATCTGTTACTAAGAAAAATAATGTGCCCTTCTACTAGGGATGAGGGAGAAGCAAAATGCCCAAGTATAGTAGTACCAACAAATAGCATTTCTTACCAAAAATAGTGTGTAGTTCATTGGGCTGTCTTCACTGAAGGTTTCTGTTTCATTAATTATAAAAGGTAAGCAAACCACTAACCCCTTCAAAGACCGTTCAGTATATTACAGATTGAAATGAGCTCATATCCTGTGGTGAAGCAGGGTGGGGGCACGCAGGCGGGAGGCTCCCACCTGGCAGTGTTAACTCTGAGACTGTCTCTCCTTCCTGCTTTGTAGGTGGTGGTGGTGCGGCTGCTGCACACAGCCCTGCTTCAGAAGAGGCAGTTGAAGTCTATAGAGATGAAGGTATGAGGCTACTTATTACATCTAAAAATCAAAAACGCTTAGGCAACCATTTGAGTTTTGTTTATATGGAAAAATGAAGTAGCAAGCAAAATCTATCCAATTATCTTTAAGCATCTCTACAATATTTCCAACACAATCAAATATCTCACCCACTCTGTTTATTCCATATGTGCCTCTTTTAGAAATTACATGTACATTTGCCTTTGTTTCTCTGAAAAGTAAGTTTGTGTAATAAGAGAATGATTGAAGAGGTTGTTTATTTAAAACAATTTTTTTTTCCTTAATTGGTATTAGAGAGAGGAAGGGAGAGGGATAGAGATAAAGCTATTGATGAGAGAGAACATCCTTTGGCCGCCTCCTGTATGCCTCCCACTGGGAATCAGGCCCACAACCTGGGCATGTACCGTGATGGGGAATTGAACCGGTGACCTCTTGATAAGCTGGAAAAGTTACATTTAAAGATATTTAAACAGAATTAGGCATTTCTGCAGTTCCTAGCTACTCATCAGGAATAAGTTTAAAAGAGTGGTATTTGGTAATCACCTATCAGAGAGCTTCATTAACCAGTCATAAGACAAAGGAGGTTTGAAAGGCATGCTTAGAAATAAATCTGTGGCATGAGCATCAATCTCGTCCTATGGACAGTCACTATGAGGAAATGTTGCTTACCTAAGTATCTCCAGAAAAAGAAAAAACTGAAAGAAATTTGGTGTAGGTTCTAGGAGGAAACTTGAGGGAGAAATCACATGTAGATTATATATATTCAGAAGAAAAATAAAATAGTTCTTTCTTTTCTTTTTTTCATGATTAAATGTCCCCACACAAAATGGTAACTTTATTTTATTTTTTGCTATCTTTTTAAATTTTATTTTTCAGTTACAGTTTACATTCAGTATTATTTTGTATTTGTCTCAGGTGTATGTCATAGTGGTTAGACAATCATATAATTTACAAAGTGCTCCCCTTGATGTTCTAAGTACCCACCTGACATCATACATGGTTATTACAATATTATTGACTATATTTCCTAGACTATACTTTACATCCCCGTGACTATTCGTAACTACCAATTTGTAGTTCTTAATCCCTTCCTCTCAAAGAGGTAGTATTATTTTATATCTGTCACCTGTGACTACTAAAATAGCCTTCTGTTGTATTTGTACAAATGGACATCTGGTAAAGCATGTGATATACTTGAAACTTTTGGGTAAACATGTATTTCCTTACTTTGGAGTGGTATAAAAATGGACCCATACTCAACAATTAATACTAGCTATTCCTTGAATTGGTATTTAGAAAATCAAAGTTGTCTTAAAAGTGTAATACTCAACTATTTGCATCATTCATTTCATGTTGCCTGGTAAATGGATTTTTCAAAATGAGGTGTCCTGTGCAGGGAGTCAGTTTGAGATGGGTGAGGCTGCCTGCAGCTGGAAAATAAGCTCCTCACTGCTTAAAAGAGGAACCGGGGGGCGGGGGGGGGCAACACAGCACCCTCTGTACACTGTTGTTTTCAGTGGTCCTTTTCTTGTTCACTGTCACTTTTCAAATGAATCCCTAGCACCTCCTTTCATCTACTAAAATTTGTTCTGACATTCCTGGTTTTGTCTTGGATATCTATTCCTGGTTATTTGGTATATATCTAAAGTGCAAATAATGTCAGATATTCACATAAGTTCCAATAAGAAACTCAAGGTCATTTTACAGAGAGAAATAAAACTGACCAAGTCAGAGTGAAAAGACAAAAGTGATGTTCCTCCCAAGTAAATAGTTTTGGACATTCCAATCATTTATCTGTGATAGAATTTTTTTTTTAAATGTCATGAAGTTGAATGGCAGAGTTTAAGAAACAAGAAAGATCACCTAGTTTAAGTGCTTCAAGCTGAGATTTTTTTTTTTCCTGTTGAGCTGTTTGGTTTGGAGATATCACACCTTTATAGAAACATACTGTTCGTGATGTTTCTTCATACTTTTAGGATTCCATACCATTAATTGCTCATGCCAGGATCAATTTCGCAGAATACTTTTAAGGTTTTTTTCTACATAAAACTTGTAATGATGGTAGCTCCAAATAAATTGCTGAATATATTTGAAATAAATTGCTAATATCCATTAACCTCTTGATGTAGAGAGAAGTGTGTTAAAATCCCTACTAGCATGTAAACTACTAAACATAAAACATATAGAATATAATTTTTGCCTTTTCCTTCTGAAATAGCATGTAGAACTGTTTTTAATTAATCATCAGTTCAAAGTTTACGTCAAGTATCTAATGCTTACAGGACTGCGATAGCTTAGAATGAGAAAAGAAATGAATTTGCCATTGAAATCCCCCAAGACTGAGGTCAAGTTGAGGTTAAAAGGCAGTCATATGGGTTGAGAATTCATTTCAAACATTCACCATTATTAGTTTCATGCAGAAATATATCTCCTAGGTGACAACTGGGCTATTTATGAAATGTACAGTTATAAGATTGCTTATAAAATGCATATTAAACTCTATTATTTTAATGGAAGAACAGATTTGCTGACCAGAAGGAGTCCCCGCTCTTTGCCTTTGTTTTCAGACTTTGATCCTGACCCAGCATCTTCTTGAGTTTGGAACAACCTAACTAAAGAACTGCGCTTTTCTTTTTTCTCTCTCTTATCAATATAATTCCTAAAGATTTTGAGACTCATCAGTTATTTTCAGCTTTGCTTGTTGGTTGTCTGGCTTTACATTTGTTAACTTTGGTTCCCACAGGAAAGAGTGTCTTCTGGAGTGCAAGGGCTTAAAATAGACAAACAAAAATGAGCCTGCTAAGGTGCCTTGGTTTGGCAGATAAGATTTAAAAAAAATTAAAATAAGTATGTGAAAGTTGAATAACTTCAAGAGGAAGTGTCTTCTGGGGTGTCTTCTATACCAATGCTTTTGTTCAAATGTTCTAGACATATTTCCCACTGGGTACTGAGAATAGATATGTTTATTGCTCATTTACTTCACATAACTGCTAATAGTACTAGCTGCTGACAGGAGGTACCACTGATTGGCTTATGCCTCAAGAGCTAGATTTTGAGCTGCAGACTGAAAACACCTATTGCCAGTGATCATTTCAGCCCTCAGGTGGGCAGGAGTCCAGTTGAGAGAATGAGATGTGAGAAGGAGAAATGCAATCACACAGGGGTACCTGCCCGGGGAGCAGCAACCAGGACTGAATTGAAATGAACTCCAAAGTGAAGCTGGCTTGAGAAATTATCTGTAGGTTAATAAAAGTTCTAAGGTTATTTGTAAAATATGGCATTCACTTATTTATTGAGAGATTTCTTCCTCTGCTGGTAAAATACTCTAATTATTGATTTAATGACTGTTTGCACTTTAAGTCCTTAAAAGCAAACCTAGGAGTACAAATGCTAAAGTTATTTAAGTAACCAAATATAGAGGCAATCAGATAAAGGAAAGTATAAACATAGAAATAAAATTCATATTAAGAATATCAAGTACTCTGTTTGAAACTGCTATACAGCTATTATTATCTGAAATAGTGTCAATCTTCTTAACTCAAGGAGAAGTCTTTGTTCTAGTTGTCTCAACACTTATAATAATAGTTCATCCTCACAGCCAAGGCCAAGGCACTTTGGTGGGGGTGGGGGTAGCTGGAAATTGCTGTTTAAACAAATCTTGATTCTCCCGTCTTAGTATTTAATTACCTAATTTGAATTTGAAGGTCAACTAGACCAAATCATATGCTCATTAATATTAAAGGCAAAATCAATTAATACTCAGGTGCATGCACAATGAGCTGATATTCCTTTTGAGATTTGTGTAAGTCATGTCATTGCTGTTTGGTATTTATGAAGCAGGATTCATCTGGGAAAAAATTTCTTAACCCTCGATCTAACCTTAAGACTGTCTGAAGATCAAATTTTCTGTAGAATAGGGAGAAAGAGAGCAAGAGCCAGCCTTGCCAAAGACAGCAGCAGAGACAGGATGAGGTTACGCATGAGGAAGTGGATTCGAGAGTGCGACAGATGAGCATAACTGCTCCCAACCATATATCACCTTAAGCCTTGGCCAGTGGGCTGGGCTCCAGAAGGTTCTGAACATTGTCTCTATCCCTGGTCTAAATCTTTGGAGAGAAACAAAACCTTGGGTCACCCATGAAATTCCCCTCAGGCTTCCTATTTTTGGCGTCCACTCTTCCTCTTCTAAGGGTCCTGCCGCTGCCCACAGAAGCGAGACAAAGCTGTCCCCTGTGCTAGAGCTGCACCGAGACAGTGTCTTGGTATTCTAACACCCTGGGTCATCACTTAGATTTTAAGGGTCTGAGTGTGTAATGAAAGCTGCTGCCCCCTGGCAGTTCTGTGAAGGGGAAAGAACCAAGATATAATATATGGAGTGTCTCTTATACGTAATGCTTTGTGTTTAGGTACAATGTATTTTCATTTCATGAGAGGGTAACCTGTGTCTCAGGAAGGAGAGAGAGGTGTGTGTAGGGGGATGGGGTGAGGAGAGCCACTTTATTAGGGTTGACTCCACAGCTGATACTTACACAAGCATACATAATCCTCATCAACGAGAGTGTTTTATTTCATTATAATAAAACAATTATTTATTTTCTGTTCATAATACATATTTATTGTAAAATTGTTTTAAATTCAGAAAAGTATAAAAATTAAAAAATATAATTATTTTTTTTCTTTAAGGATTAAATTGTTAAATAAACAAATCTTTATTCTGTTTTACCAGTTAACAATATACCATGAATATTTTCCCAAATCTTGAAATATTCCTCAAAGGCATAATTTTGTATTGGAGGCATAATATTTCATCATATTGTTATTCTACAATTTACATAGCCAGTGTCCCAATGTTAAACTAATTAGTTATTTACAATTTTCTTTCTATTATAAATAATAGGGAAGTACAGTGCATATATCTTACATAAATCTTGGTGTGTATCTATGATCAGTTCCTAGGACAAATTCTTGATTTTATTCTTGGTTTACTAGGGAAAAGGTTA